CCGAGTACGTCAGCATTTTGTGCACCAACTTTCTGTGTGAAGAAACCAGTCGGTTGGCGAATTGTACACGACTATCGTCAGTTGAATTTGGCTACAGTTTTACCGGCCATTCCGATGCCTCACAAAGAAGACACCTTTGATGCGATGGCTGGCAGCTATTGGTACTCGTGCATGGATTTACTCGGGGGTTATTACCAAGTCAAGCTACGTGAATCAGATATACCTTTTACTGCTTTTTCGACTCCAGACGGTCTTTTTGAATATCTCGTCACGCCCACGGGACTCAGTGGAAGCCCGCCCGGGGACTTTTAACAGGTTGTTACAAAAGGTTTTCAGGGACTTACGTGATGTGATGCGGATTTACTTTGACGACATTTACGTGTACACCAAGAATGAAGATGTCGACGAGCATATTGCCGCGCTGGACAGAGTATTGAAGCGATGTGAAGAACAGAAACTTTACATCAAACTGTCCAATTTTGCGTGGATGAGATTCCATGTTTAGGCGACTTTGTCGGACGCAAGGACGTTCGAATGGACCCAGATAAGGTGAAGATTATCGCCGAATGGCCAGTTCCGAAGACCAAGAAGCAAATGGAAAGCTTTCTTGGGACAACTCTTTACGTTTAGAGATTCTGCAAGGATTTTGCTCAGTTCGCAGGCCCTTTGCATGAATGTATCAAGGGAAAACGTTCTCGAGATGCTATCGAATTCGATGAGAACCAACTACGATGTTTCGATGAGTTAAAGAAACGCTTGTCATCACCACCGGTTCTCCGTCTTCCTGATGCCACCAAGCCCTTCGGCATTCGAAAAAACGCCTCAAATTTTGCAAGTGGGGGAGTCTTATTTCAAAAGGAGGGAGAGTTGGAACATCCAGCTTCCTTTACGGGCCGGAAGATGAAACCTGCAGAGCTAAACTACCCAGTGCGCGAACAAGAACTACTTGCAATCATGCATGCGCTGAAGACATGGCGTGTATATCTACTGGACAAGCCCTTCCTTGTTGAAACAGATCATAAGAGCATCAAGATGATTCTTACGCAGAAGACAGCGAATCGACGCATTGCACGGTGGTTCAATGAACTTGCGGAGTTTCGGCCCATGTTCAAGTGGATCCCAGGAGAAACGAATGTAGTCGCAGACGCACTATCGAGATACCCTGAGTTCGAGCATAAGGCTGCGCAAGTAAGCCTTCAGGAACTTGTTGGTACGGCCCAAAACCGCGAAATTGTGGCAACCATGGTAGCAAACAACATGACCGTGGCATAGTCCGCAAAGAAGATGTATGCGTGGAACAAGGACTTACAGCGGATTATTAAGACGCTTAAGCTTGGAGACAACGTTCCGCATTACTCGCTCAATGATGGTGTTTTATACTATCAGACTGGTGAAGATGAAAGTCCGCGATTGTAAATTCCAGATGACGAAGATCTGAGAACCGTGTCATTTGCGAGAACCATGATACAGTAACGGCAGGCCATCCCGGGTCTTCCAAGACCTACGTCGCAGTTCGAGAGAAGTACTATTGGCCGAGAATGATGAAGTATATCCAGCGTTATTGCAACACGTGTGAAATGTGTCAGCGCAAGAAGGCGAGACAAATGAAACCGCCGGGATTACTTCAACAGCTAGATGTTCCAAGAGGTAGATGGATCGACATTTCGATGGGTTTCGTTGTGTCCTTACCTTCCAGTAAGGATGGTTGTAACGCCATCATGGTCATCGTGGATCGATTGACCAAGCGTGCAAAGCTCATTGCAACGCAGACGACGGACAGCGCAGAAAATACTGCGAATGTTTTCATGAAGAACTATGTAAAAGATCATGGTCTTTCCGAAGACGAT